TCCAATCTCTATCTATGTAAATGATATTTCGGCATTATCTATTATTTTTATCGACTGGTATTGTTAACAATTGACACATCCATCTTGGTTTTCCAACTTGTGTACTGGAACGCAGTCAACTTGGGTGTGAAGTAAGACGGTAACTCTGGGGAGAAGAATTGTTGAATAAAGTCATTATTTTTGTTTTCTTTATGCACAAAAAGTATTCTCGTAGCATCACAAAATTGAAGTTGAGCCACTGATGTCACATGGACTGTTTTACCGATGTCCTTACTACGTTTCTGGACCTGGGAACATTACAGTTGCATTGCTGTCTATGGAGGGTCAGAGTGCTCTCCGATTTAATCAAAAATATCTTAATTTGTGTTCCGAAGATGAACGAAGGTCTTACGGGTTTGGAACAACATTAGGGTGAGTAATTAATGACAGAATTTTCATTTTGGGGTGAACTAACCCTTTAATTAAATATTCATATTTGCAAGAACCAATGGCCACTCCCTCAAAGAGTGCAATTCTGATAATCTTTAAATAAAATTGACATTCAGTACGTTCAAAACACAGACATAGTAATATAGAGATATTAATATATTATAAACTAGATTTAATTTAGTAAAACAAAACAAAACAACAAATGTTTGTGCCAAATTTCTATTTTCTGATGTAGTCTCAGGGGAGGTGTAAGGGAGCTGCTGTCAAACAAAGGTCAATGAAGAGAAAGTTTAAGGATGTCATGTAATAAACCTTCAGAGAACAAGAGAACATACAATTTCATTTAGGAGTCTCTTGAGAGATGATATAGCTATCTGAGACAGGAACATCAACAGCTCTTGTACAGGCTATACAGGCTATACCAACTGACCTACTATATCAGCGTAGAATATATTGGACATTGATGTAAAGGTGTTAGCAACGGTTTAGCAACAATCACACAAAGTATGTATGTAGTCTGACATATTGACACACTGGCTGATCCTTGCTTTTACCATTCCTTCAAAGAAAAACAGTAAGAACTCTCTTAAAGGAGACATATTATGCCCCTTTTTACAATATTTAATATAAGTCTCTGGTGTCCCCAGAATGTGTCTGTGAAGTTTCAGCTCAAAATACTCCACAGATAATTTATTATATCATTTTGAAAATATCTATTTTGAGTGGAAGCAGAAGCAGTTTTTCGGGCCTGTCTCTTTAAATGCAAACGGACTACTGCTCCCTGCCCCCTTTTCCAGAATAGAGCTGCACCATTACAGCTCGTACCTGCTAAAACCTTTTGTTTTGGTTCTGATTATCATGTTTATCACGCTGAAATCATGCGTTTTAAACCATATGAGTTTAAACTCATACTTCTGATATACGGTTTTCTGAGAGCACTCATCCGCAGCACACGGACAGATAGCGGCTGTCACAGCATGTGAGTACTAAACTAAAGTTCTCATTCACACACAAGTTTACGTTAAAAACACACGAGTTACAAAAAAGAGTCGGTTATGT